AGAAGGGGGGGGGGAAGAAGGAAGGAAGCTGAAAGAAACAGGCAAACTTGGCAGTAAAAGGCCTTAACGAACAGTTAGGGAAAAACTACCTTTCTAACAAAATGCAAAGTTTGTGGCTTTTTGGCTGTGTTCTAAGGTCACAAGTTTGAAATGAAATGTGCCAGAAGAGACAAATGAAGAACACTTCCTTAATAAGGACAGCATCAACTATTACTATAAAGTACGCCCCGACTATCATTTCCTCCTACCCACCCCATTTCCTATCGGATGGACTCCTTGAGGAGCAGACGTACCTTTTACCAGGCAGAACACTGCTGGCAGAGGACCTTATTAAAGGTTTCCGAAGAGGGGAATGCTGATAGTTTTGTTCTTCACTGCTTTGCCTTCCTTCATCTTCACCTCCTTTCTTCTCCTTGGATGAGAACTCTCTTTTTGCAGGACCTGAAGTGACATGTAACACAGAAACAGATTATTTGCCAAGTTATTTAACCAACAACTCTAATTTTTTTTCCCTGAGGTGGGGGAAGATGGAGGGAGCGTGTTTAAAAATATTATCAGGAAATAAAGCTGAGTCATGGTTTTGTGCATTTATATAAAACTTAAGTTGTACCAGGTACAAACGTCAATCTAGCAATTCACTGTTCTATATAGAAGAAGCATTTTCATTTACTTTGCAATAACTGTAATTCTTCAGCAGACTCTCAGTACATAAATTCTGTTCATCATCTGAATTTAGCTTGCAGATTATATCCAAAACCTGAGAGAAATCATAAGTGTCTATTGGACGTGACATCCATTTCACCTATGTGAGCAACAACTGCCAAAATGTTCCCAGTGCTCCTGTCAAAGCACTTTGATAATTAATTTCACATACCCAAACTTAGACAGGCGTTTACACACCTTCAAGAGTTAAATCTACACCTTGCAGAAAGGGAGAATATCCACTCCTAGGAAGAAATTTTCAGCAAGCTGGATTTCTTAAGTTTTTTTCAGATCTAGCTGTTTTAGAATACTGACATGCATGTTTTCCATAGACTTTAGTATCACAATAAAATGAGAAATGATAACAGGCCCCCTTACAGAGGCTGCTTCAAGAGGTTTATCCTCAGGAAGACAGTGCTGCAGCTGTTCATCTTCTATGAAGGCAAATTTCTGACTGGTCAGAGATGCAGTGAACCATGCATTTGCCAACAGCCGAAACATATCCCCAGGCTAAAATCTCCAAAGGCACACAAGCAGCATTCCCAACACTGAAGAAAATGAGGCGCTTCGCAGTTCACATATTCCTTTGGGTGTGAACGACCAACATTCACATCTCACCCTAATTCCAAGCAGGGACTGGAATCCAGATTTCCCATTTCTGAGTTGAATTTTCTATACGCCAGCCAGGCGCATCACTCTCTTCTTGGTTCAAAGAACACACAACTGTTTATACACAGAACAGCAACTCCAAAAGCTGAGAAAACACACACTCCAGAACATTCAGCAATTCCATTCTGAGGAAACTTTCCTAAAAGCTGGAAGCCTGCATCCTAGCCCTTGCTCTGAAGCAGGTCGTTGGGCATTTGGATTTTCGAAAATCCCAGAGAACCATCCTGCTTCTAGATAGGAGCACGAAGATGACTTCGTAATCATCGTATTCTTCCTATGGCATTATAGCAACGGTTTCTAAGTTCCCTTATAAACCTAGGCTGTCATTTCAAGCGTCTTCAGCTCTTCTCAAATGGCTTCAAGTGCCCAGAAACAGCATTTTGACTTAGGAATTCAAGAGCTGAAACAGCAGACTTTTCAAATGCACTTAAAACCTCACACTTAAGATTTCCTTGATGCAAGAGGACAGTAAAGACAAAGCCCACCTAGGGAGAACAACTAAAGGACTTCTACAGCGCTGAATGACTGGGCAAAGGGGCAGACAAACGTATTGTTGCGACACAGCCTGAGAAAACACAACCCTAGCTTCAAATAAAAAACATGAGGCTGACAGCTGACCATAAGCACTGATCACTGGGGTCTGAAAGTTGTGCAAATCATCAACTCAGTTCTTAGTGACATTCACAAGAAAAATTAAAAAGCAAGAAAACACAGTATGCTCACAGTTATTAGAAAAACGCAGGAGAACCTGACTAAATGTACAGACCCACAACAAGCACAGCACACACATCACCAACGTGCATAAAGCTCTAAGCTCTGTCTCAGAAATCACGTAACAGACCAAAAGAAGCTTCCAACAAGAACAATACAGATAGAAAGTCAAATGGTATGAAATAGCTTCCACGTGAGACAAGGACTCTTCAAGCTGGAAAAAGAGGGGACTTGGAAGCAGAAGTATATAGGGATAGGACTCGCACGAGGACAAACTAGCGACAACTGTTTGCTGTCTCTTTCAATACAATAAGCATGGGTGTCAAACAGAAATATCAAGCAGCAAACATCCAAAAGTCAGTCTGTCTTCAGGCACTCCACAAGCAAGCTGTTGAGCCCCTCTCCCCGTTACAAAGTGTTACCGATGCTCCAAGTTTACACGGATTACAAGAGCAACCTGACAAGAGAAAAGTTCCTCAAGGGTTAAGAAACAACTTCTGGCTTCCAGGGTTCCTGAACCAGAAATTGTTGAAGGCTAAGAAATTATTATGAGAGCAACTACATACTTTAATCTGTTCTTATTCCTTCCTACAAACATTTGCTATTATCCATTGCCAGAGACAGGGCTAGCTGGGACAAGATGCAGGACGAAATTTTTCTGCTTCTCTAGTAAGTAACTTTCAGCACTCTCAGGAACTCCACGCACCCAACAATTTCGCTAGTACAAGTCAAAGAACTGCCATACTTTGGGAGTTTTAATATTCCTGCATATTCCTGCTCTGGAGATCATTTTTGCATGGTTCTCAGCACAAGAGGGGGGAAAAAAAAACAAAAAAACAACAAGAACAGAAGGAGATGCCACTCCATTTAAGTATCATCCAATTACCGTATTTGAAAACAAAGACTTACTTGTCTTCTTCTTTTGCCAAAATGTGACTATGTCCTTGTGCAACTCTTTTGCCTTTTTTCTGGCAAGAGCAGCAGACGCCTGGAAGAAAATAAAGCACAGTATGAAAGCTAACAGAGTACCGTACCACTGTACAGCGCAGTTTTTGCCAGAGATGAACGTTTCCCGATTTCTGCAAAATTCTGGGCACTGCCTTTCAAGCTCTTACTTAAAACCTACATACAGCCAGCAGGATCAGGCTGGCTTCCACTAAAGTTGTTCTTTTTAACACCTACATCAACGTTACAGCAGCCGAGACCAAAGGCGTGTTTTTAACCACAACAAACAGGAGCAGAGCATGCATTTTCCTGAACTGGCTCCTCAGCACATCTCAGTGCTGACATAAGGACAGTACTTCCAAAGAGAAGACTGTCCTACAAAGACTGCAACGATGAATTCACCTAACTCTTGGTGCTGCAGAGATGTGGAGCAACAACGCAATAGCATTGCTGCTATTAGTAGCAAGCAGGTTTGGGTGAGGCATGACAGCAACCAGGTAACAAGAAAGGTCTGTTTGGCGTTTGAGCTAGGCAATAAAAGCGTGGCTAAAGTTAGGCAAAGCTCAGGCAGCTATCCTGTTTTAAATAGGGCTCTATCGGCTCAGCACCCCTCTCGCCCTGTCCATAATACAGTTTGTTTTTGTCTGTGCGGGCTTTCATAAGGAAAGCACACAACGCTGTCGCACACGGGTGTAATTTTCACAACGGTGAAAGCCCGTGGGCGCCCTAAGCCTTCAGGTTTCTACCTGTTCCTCAGTTTGCAGCGCTCGGCACTCACATGATCAAAGAAGTGGAGGACCGCCATTTTTTTATTGCGGCGGGTCATGATCCGGCGGACCTTCACGAACTGCCCGAAGTGCTTCTCCAGCACGCTCCTGTCATTGAGGTTATCGGGGACGTTCTTGCACTGGATGGCGGTGAGCTCGCCCGGCGAGAGCCCCCCGAGACCGTCCACGCTCTCGCCGCCTCGCGCGCGGCGCGACGGCGGCGTGACAGCAGTGGGGCCGGCGGCACCATCTGAAAGACAAGCCCCCCCGGCG